CGAGATTGTGGGTATTAGGGGATTTTATATAAATATTTGGTTAGTAGAGGGTGTGAGGAATCCATCAATATATACATTATCGTGATCGGTCATGCAGAAGTATTCTGAATAATTACCATCCAATGCGGAAAAAAAAGGGTATATGCTGAATACATCTTGGTAATAGACCTGCCTGGCGATTTATTTTCATGGAAAGAACCAGTCCAAGCTCTATCTTGCAAGGTTATTGGCCTTTGCCGGAGCACAAGGCAGGTTTTGCCAGGGAAACGCTGACGCTGTCTTATTAGTTGCCAATTACCATTTTTGTTTTGCATTAGTAAGTTGACTTGTTCACACAAACTGGATAGTTTTAGTACATAATGGATATTCTCCGTTTCAACCTAAAGGAAAAAGGGAGCTACAACTTGTTCCTGCCGATATGAATTTGAAAAAGACAATTGCATTCGAAAGAGACCATTTGAACGAATTAGAAGGACAGTGTATTGTCCATCCCTAGATCACTTTCGTCAGTTTTCTATTAGATGCATTTACCGATGGTTATGATCCCGATTATTGGCTTACAGTCGATCGACTATCCAAGTCGTGGTAATTTTTCTTTTCCACCCAGGGTTTCTACGTCTCTCCTCCATTCTCTCTCTCTCTCTCTCTCTCTCTCTCTCTCTCTCTCTCTCTCTCTCTCAGTCACTCACTCTCTCTCTCTCTCTCTCTCTCTCTCTCTCTCTCTCTCTCTCTCTCTCTCTCTCTCTCTCTCTCTCTCTCTCTCTCTCTCTCTCTCTCTCTCTCTCTCTCTCTCTCTCTCTCTCTCTCTCTCTCTCTCTCTCTCTCTCTCTCTCTCTCTCTCTCTCTCTCTCTCTCTCTCTCTCTCTCTCTCTCTCTTCTCTCTCTCTCTCTCTCTCTTCTCTCTCTCTCTCTCTCTCTCTCTCTCTCTCTCTCTCTCTCTCTCTCTCTCTCTCTCTCTCTCTCTCTCTCTCTCTCTCTCTTCTCTCTCTCTCTCTCTCTCTCTCTCTCTCTCTCTCATTCTCTCTCTCATTCTCTCTCTCTCTCACTCTCTCTCTCTCTCTCTCTCTCTCTCTCTCTCTGGATATTTCAGTTTATCTCTGTCCTCTTTGTGTAAGATTTGCAGTTAGTTTCTTATATGGCTGAAATAGGTCGACGGTCTGTATCACTGCCCTTCCTGAGTAAAGAAAAGATGTTCAGATTCACGGTCAGCTACCTCTTTCCAGGAACTCGGTACTTTTGAAATCTTTCCTTTGCGCGTTTAATAAGGCTGGACCAAAAGGCAAGTACCGCTCGTTAATAAATACACCTTTTGGAATATACAGAGAAATCAATTTTACAGATCACAGGAATTGCGGAAGTCTGTCAACAGGCCGAGTTAGGTCTTAAATACTTGTCAGCAATTAGCTAGCACCTATATCTCTATACCCCTGTTTCAAAGATTTCAGCAGTGGTAGAACATGTACAAGTTTACTTCGGTATAAAACAATGAGCAATATTTCAGGTCTAAGGGTTGCAGCTGCCTTTATGAAGAATCTCGTCACCGCAGCCACTGGTGCCACCATCACTACCTTCACACACCCGATCTGCCCCAACTCCTCTTGTGATGAATGTTGCAACAATACGTGGTAAGTTGCGCTTTTAAGGATCTCATTTTCTACCAATAACATCCTCTCTATTTGGGTTTATAACTAGGCGTTTACATATTTAAATACAGTATAATTAGTAACTGCCAGATTCATTTGAATATGTTTATTACTTTATTTTATTAAAACCTTATGCAAATAAAATACATTTTCTTCCAGAATACATAGGTAATACATGCTTGGATCCTGAACAGAGTTGGAGGAAAGCTCAAATGGTTGGTTTTCAGTTTCCTTCTACTGTGGCAGATTCTTGAACCATTTGAAAACCATCCATTGATTTATTCGTGCTGGAAAGTGGTTGAAATCGTTTAGGAAAACAATTACTGGATCATTCGTAAGTGAAAACTGTTGCTCTTTGTTTTCGTGGAATAGTATCTGGGATATGCTCAAGTCATCGACGTATCACACATAAGAGGATGTCAATGCTTTTTGTGTAATATTCAGTGAAATACAGGTGTTGATGGCTGCAAATAATGTCTCATTCCGATTTTCAGAGATGGTGCATTTGGGCTCCAGGAATAAGCAACAATAGCAGTTAATTTGCAAGTACAAGCAAAGGCTACAACAGATAGAAGCAAAATTCCAAAAAGTTCGCCGGTGAGCACACTGAGGGTACGACCGGCAGAAATTATCACCTTTTTAAGAGACTGAAAAAACAAAAGATGGCAGACAGGAGTGACCGTGTGTGGTTAAATGTTCAGTGGAATATCCATTAAAATAGATATTACTTCATCAAAAGTAGGACAGTATTGGTGTCAAAGATTTTGAATTTAACGGACAGTCTAGAACAGTGTTGTCCAAACATTTTCGCCTATTGTACCCTTTATTACATTCTTGTACTGTTACGTACCCCCCACCCCCACCCCCGTCCACCATAGCTAAACAAACTTTTATTTAGGATAATACAAATGATATACTAATTATGAAAAGACTGCATTGCAGGTGTTAGTCAATAAATTCGAATTTAATACACGCTTAAAAAAGATGTTTTAATAACAAAATGCTTGAATATACTTACACAACATAATGTAAGATGTGTTCCTTGTTTGTTCACGTACCCTTATAATCCATGTTGTGGACCCCAATTTGGACAACACTGTCCTAGAGCACCTGTTGCACAAGCGTTTCTATTCATTATAAGCATAGAAAGTAGGTGGAAAGAAGTGTTAGGTTACATGCTGTCAAAAAATGAACTAGACAAATTCTATGCATAATGAAAGAAAATATTCTTAAAGGGACCGATGGGGTTGTGTTTAGAGGTGAAAAGAATTTCTGTAAAATATTTACGTATACCTATACAAAATCCTAAACTAATACAGCAAGACAAAAGTATGGTGTATGTCGGATTCACATCTCGACGCCCTCCCCTCCCAGTACATTGTCCGTTGTTGTCGTGGGCGGTCATTGGAGATGGAGACTGAGGCCCTATGTTGGGGTCTCCGCTACCTTGGGCCTCAACCCTCGGCTCAATCAATTTTGTACTGTCTTTTCTTTCCTCCTTTCATTTTCCCTCTCTTCTCTATGTCACTTGGCCGATCCTTGGAACACTTTCTCTCCAATACTGACCGTGTCCTTAATTCAGACCACCTCTATCACTTTGACATGAGCAGCCCATCCTTTTCATGCATTTCACGCTTTTATCTCACTTTCTACTCTTCCCCTTCATCTTTACAGGGCTGACTTACATACTTTTCATGCATTTCACGCTTTTATCTCACTTTCTACTCTTCCCCTTCATCCTTCTCTTCAACTGCAGATATAAATTTACATTTCACTGTCCTGACTGCCCCTCTACAGCCATTCCCCGAATCTCTTGACCTTATACTTCCAAATGTATTCCATTATGGAACTCTAATTGCACTAAAGCCCTCCGGCTGAAACATGTAACTTGGAACAGCTATCACTACCAGTGAGACACCTCCAGTCAATTTACCGCAAGTGGTAAGATTATATTTACCTCCTTGATATCATCTATACTTTTATCTACAGCCTTGCAGCGGATCCAGAAACTCTCACGCCCCCCCCCCCCCCACACACACCCTACTGCCCCTGTCCTCTAAATCCGTATTATGCACATCTCTAATCCTCTACTAGCAGCTGCTGAACATTTTTCCCATTCTAAACAGGTCAGTAGTGGCTCTAACCTTATTCCTCAATTCTCCTCCGTAACGCACACCCATCTCCTCTCTGTCCTTTATAGAATCTTATAATGCGTCCTTTTGTTTTTAACTTCCTAACGCCTCATAGTCAGGCCACACCACCCAGGGAGGCCCAGACAGTATACCTTACCGTATACTCCGACATCCACCTACCTCCTTGTCCTTTGTACTAGCTAGCTATATTCAACGGTATTTCGACGGCTGGAAACTTTCCTCTCGACTGGCGTGAAACCCTTTACTACTTTTCTTGAAACCAGTAAATCTTGCACCCTTCCTCAACATTGCTCTAGCTAGCTGCTGATGCAAATTACTAGAAAGGATGTTAAGCTCATTTCATGACACTAATTATATCTGCATTTGCATGTCATGGTTTCGTAATAGCTGTCTTCTTTGATCTAGAAAAGGCAAAAGATCCCACATAGCGGTCCCATATTCTTCACTGATGACCCCCCCCCCCACATAATCCCATGGCCGTTGTTGGGGGAACTTAGGAGACGGAGTGAGGCCTACCCCATCTCCTACCGCATCCTCTCCTCCATCAGGCTCTTTCTCAGCCCTTTAAGCGTCTGTCCCCTCATTCCCCCTCGTTAGAAAACCTTCGTTTCTCAAACCATCCCCAACTAACTCCACTTCAGAAACATTATTTGAAAACATTGAAAACTTTATAAGCCTGACCCAACACAACATGCCTACACCTCATCCATTTACCAGTCTGTATGCTCAAATTTCCTCTTCTTTCAAAGTGACTGCCGACATCCAACCAGCCTGTACACATGCAATCCCCCCCCCCCCCCGCTACACTTATGCCTCCTAACCCATTCCATTCCACCCTCCTCCAGGTACATAATCCCTCCTTCCTCCTGTTTTCCCTTCTGCTTCCTCCCGGATACGCTTTGACACCTTTTTTCACAATGCCCTTCCCTGGATTCTCTCCCTCCTGACATTTTCTTGAAACTGCTCTTTGGTCTAATCGCCTTTAAACCCTCCCTTTCTCTCTTTTTCTCTCCTTACCCCATGGACAACCTTGCAGAATCCCACTCTTTTTTTCCCTTGACAACTTCGATCCAATCACCCTTGTTAATCCCTACTTTGGCCCATTTACTCGCCCTCTCTACCCTCAAACTTCTTTGCCCCTCTCAATGCAGGATTATCCTGATCTGATACGACTTTTATAAAAGTGTGTAGCACATTTGATTATCAAATACCCCGCTCCTCTTTACCCTTTTCCCTACTACACCTTTCTATGGTGCTATATGACTTATGATGTTTAGCAGATTTATTCTGCTTTATGTAACATTAACCATTTGAATCATTCTGCTTCTTTTCCTCTATTTGGTGCTCCACAAGGGGANGGGATGGGTTCCTTAAGTCGGGTGATCCCGTGTTCCTGCAGAGTGGCCTGCCTTCTCGTTCACGCCTTTATTTTTCGTATTGAATGTTCTTAAGTCGCGTGTAACCGGACCGGTGGCATTCTGCGAGTCTGCGCTGCTCCTCGTTACCGCGAAGTGTTATCGGTGCTGAAATTGATTGTTTATTTTTTTTTGTTTTATGGGCATAATCGGTTCTGCGGTCTGGTTCAAGGTTTAAATATCCGTTATTGTGAGCGTTCACTTTTTTATGGGTAATGTGTTCTGCCGGTTCTGTTTCTCAGTTTTATTCCGTTATGATGTTTTTTTAATGGGTAAATGTGTTCTAAGTACGGTCTGTTTCTTCAGTTTATTTCGTTATTTAATGTTCTATGATGATGGTAACGATAATGAAGGGCTTTCCGTTTCATTCCTCATTTGAAAAATGTTAATAATGTTTATTGTATGCTATTATTAGTAAAGGTGCCTAATATTTGATGACTCGTTAATAAAAATTTTCCCCATTATAATTATTATTATTTATGGTTATTATCATTATCATTATCTCATTATCAAATATCATTTAATACTATATGTTTATTATCATTACTTTAATATCATTATCAATCTTTGTTATTTTAATTATTATTGCCTATTATTGTCATTATAATTATTTTTAAATTATCATTTATTATTATATTATTTATTATCATTTATCAATCAACGATTATACTTGTTCCCATCTATCATCAACATTATTACTATTCATTATCATTATTATTATTATCGTTATCAGGTTTTTCCATCAATCAATATTATCATTATAGCTATTATTATCAGTATCCAATTACTATCATTATTATGGTTTATTCGTTACTCTTTATATCATTATTATTAGTATCATTATTTATTATTGTTATTATAAAATCAATAATTTTTTTTTCATTATATTACTTATTATTATTATATTATTATTATTATTATCATTATTATTATTATCATCATTGCGTTTAATTATTATATATTATTACTTATTATCATTTTTATTATTAATCATCTGTTATTATTATTATTGATTAGTAATGTAGTAGTAGTTTAGTAGTAGTAGTAGTATCAATTATTATTATTATTATTATTATTTTCATTATTCATATTATTTATTATTATTATAATTATTATTATTATTACTATTATTATTATCATACTTTAAATCATCAATCATCCTCGGATTATTCTTATCATTACCAACTACTATTATAATCGTTACTCTATCACACCAATGTTACCATTAGTAGTAGTAGCTAAGTAGTAGTAGTAGTAGTCGTAGTATAATCATTATCATTATTATTATCAATATTACTATATTGTTCTTGTCATTAATAGCTAATATATTCATGTTTATAACATATTCATTGTATCATCATCACACTTGTTATTATATTTTTATTGTTATTTACTGTTATTCTTGTATTAAGCATTAATCTTCATTATGGCTTATCATTAACTATCATTATTATTAATATCAATATTGTTAATAATCATTATTATTTTCATTCTTGTTATTATTACCTTATTATCATCATAAATTAATCATTATTACTTATTATCATCATCATTATTATCATTATCATTATTAATTATTCATTACTAGTAGTGTGTTGTTACTAATAGTAGTATTGGCTAACATAATCATCATTTCTCTTAATTATTATTTTCTTTTATTATCTCAGATTATCATTATCATACATTGTTGATCTTCTTATTATGTTCATTATACATTCATCACTTATTACTATTATTATTGTTATCATTGTTACAATTATCCTTATCATTGTTGTTATTATCATCATTATCAGGATGATTATCGTTTGTATCACTTTTCATATTAACTAATAATTTTTAATACCCCTTGGAGATGTCGCGCTAATCTACTTTTTGATTATTTAATAAAACTCTTTATCTCTTATCAGTACTATTGTTATTGTCCATCGTTATTACTGTTATCCTTTATTATTATTATCATATAATCATTTATCATAACTATTATCATCATCTCTAAAACCAAGAAGCGACAACATAAACAAACAACCACACACACACGACACACACAACACACACGACACCACACCAATACCACACTCAACACACAGACATACACACTCACACAACATACCACCTACCACACGCAACGAAAATACACTTCTTCTCTCCATCTCTCTCTCTCACACACACACACAAAGAACAGCACGACACACAACACACACACTCTCCAAATCTCTCTCTCCTTCGTCAACACAACACACACACACACAATACACCACACACACCACGCACCACCCCACACACACACAT